TCAAAGGGAAAAATTTTTCCGCGGTTTTGTGAAGCGAATTAGGCGGTTTAAATTTAAATTTTCCTTTGGGTTGGATAGATTTTTTGAATGTACGCAATCAGAGAAATTTGTTTTTTGTTTAATTACGTATGCACGAGTAACTGTTGGGCATTATATGAAATTGTAAAATTGACAGGTCCATTTCAGTTTTTGGGGTTTTATGATACTCACAGTCGCCGCCAGTAATTTTTTAACATGGGATTTTAACTTGTTTGATTAACAAAAGTTCGGGGAAAAATACGTTTTATTAGTAACAAATACGAATGTTACATGCTTTTACGTTTTATATAATATTGGTATTAGTTTTGTTTGAATTGATAACTGTTTATTTATGAAAGTGCATGGATGCCAATTTTACTTAATATTTATAAGTTTAACTGTTAATACTGTTTTATATATATTTTTTGTTAATTTAATGGATTTGTTATCATCTTTACCCAAGTGCTCCTAATACATATTATACTACTAATATATTCCAGAATTTTGGTTTTTTGTTTGTTGTTCTATTTAGTTGATACAAATAGATCAGTAAAGGTCAAAGGAAGGATAATTTACTTCTTTATTCATCGAATAAGAGTTATCAGCTTGCGATTTTACACAATATGATTTGTCAAGCAAGGTGTCTTTTGTATAAACTGTTATTACATTTATGTAATTTTAATGGCTTTTAGGTGCGTGATTATATCATATCTTGTGAATGCCAGTCGTAGACAGGTATTAGATGAAAATCGAAACAAATGATTGTAAAAGCGACAAAAATATTAAATAAACATCAATGCAAAACGTCTTCTGAAGACAAAGACAATTTAAACGCAATCAGTGTTGCATATGCTGACAGAAACATTCTCCCTTAAATTTACATATTGTATTCAATATTATTCTTTAAATTTTGTCATTTTAGTCTATGTGTAAATGGTTTCAACCACTAAACTAAAATAATTGGACATTTAATTCTATTTAGAAGAATTAAGATAATGAAAGTGGCATAACAATATTCTGTCGCAATCCTGTAAAGATTGAAAGAAAAAAATGTGATATTTGACAAAAGTTTAAACTCAGGGACGATATATTCAAACTCTTTTTAAACGTTTTTTTTTTAAACTAAGCACAAGTTATTGCGGGAGGATGTTGATTCTACTCAGGAAACGGTTCGAGTCTAAAAAAATGCAAAGAAGCAAAGAAGGAAGCATTGAGTTCTCCCTGCACATGCATAGCTGGCCAGTCACATAATAAATAACATGAAAACAACAGAGAAACGATTAAAGAAATATAATTAACATTAGCAATAAAAGAAGATTTTACATTTGAACAAAATACAAATGTATGCATTTTGCCCTTTGAAATTGCTTTAAATCAATAAACCATTTATTTAGTCGGATGTATGTATCAACACGCTAAATAGATTAATCTTATAAAAACAGCTTAACTTGTTACAAACATAATCATCATTATGGGACGGGCTATTGAGCGATTATTGTCCAGTTTGTGTTTTTCACACGTCTGAAGGAACAGACAAAGAAAATTATAAGTCGAGATAAACAAAGGATAATAGTGTGAAAATAACTGTTGGGGCTGAAATTTTACATCAAGATACTGAAAATATCGAAATAATAAAATCGAGATAAGCAAATATTTCCAAATATAGATAAAGAAGGGAGAAAATCGGGACTTTAAAAATTTCATCGAGATAACGAAATATCGAGAAAAGCGATGTCGAGATAACGATAGTTGACTGTATTTAATTGCATATGTTTAATGTGAACTGTCAAATCTCAGAAGCGAAACACCCCTTGTAAAAGTAATGTCACGGATAACTTGAAGTGACGAATTGAATATTAAAATTAATTTTACAAAGCTTAACATTTTTATGTTTCGTTCAGTTAATTTTCAATCTTCACCATACAGCATATTGATCGCTAATCACCTCCCTGTGGTTATCTACAGGCATTAGTTATCACAGCAATAACCACAAAAATCAAGGAGAACGAATAGGTTTCAATAAAATGAAGTCTCATTTATCAGTAATAACCAGCCACACTTGTAAAATATTTATCCCTTTCAGAGATAGGATAACTTATCTAACGAAACAAGTACAAATTGATTTGGTTTCAGATACCATGCTTTATATCTCAAATTGTGATTTAAAGATATTTTACAATTCAAAATACGGTCCATATCCGTTTTAGTAACACGTTAGCGATATTTACAAACATGGCACACTCTCTATACATCTACAGATCACTCGTACACCTTGTACACTCATATTTAGACGGAGAAGAAAATAGTGAATGCTTATTGTACATATAAAATGAGGTGTGTCGTGAGAATAAAATACATACTACGAAATATATGTGCCGACCTTTGAAAGACCTTGCAAATGAACTGTTCAAAAATCAAAGGTAAACAAAGCCATTTCACAAGTAAGACAGGTTAAAGGTAACCAGTTCACAAGACGGTAGGGCATTGTACATTTATAAGCAAGGAAAACATAATTAAATCAACAAAATTCATAATTAATGCCTTTAAAGACATATGCAAATAAATTTGGAAAATATTGAAAAGAATAGATAAGGTTTATTTAGAAAGAACAAACTTAAACACACTTATTTGTCACTCTAAAATATGTGTAAATTTGATTTGCAGAATGCAGTTAAATTGTAGATAAATGATTTGCGTTGTTGTTGTTTTTATTTTGACAAGTCAGCAAAATGTATATTTATAAGAATAACGCTACTGTGTCAACAAAGACACTAAACTTAGTTGTATCAATAATGTTCTCAAACCATCCGGAACATCAGTTTCGAGATTTTCAACGACTCCGCCCGTCTAAATGGTTTGTATATCATTCCAGCTTCGTCTATTTTAGGTCTCACAGTCCCAGGTGTAACGTACTCTCCATTTAAGTTGACTTGTGCACAGCTTCTGTACCACCAACCACCTAGATCTTTAGCTGCACAGTTAACAGTATCGTGGTCGTCGTGGTCAGCGTCTAATGTTGAAAAGGGGTATCCATTATGATAAGGCATACCACGTCCAGGATTTATATCTATATAGATGGAGAAAAAGTACACAATTGAAGTAACAAACCTCACAATAATGTAGTTAAATGACCCTCGCTACCACACCATACCTTCAACAAAGATAAAAAATGTAAAATTTAATTTGCGATATTGACGTTTCGAAACATATTTTTTGGCTCATCCAGCTAAATTAATTCAATTTTTAAAAAGGTCGTGGATTTCGAGTTAAAACATTTTGTTATGGACATTTTCAATATAGTTATTACATTTGCTACTCATCGTGACTTTACGTACAGACATAAATTGTTAACTAAAGTGTGCCGTAACGGCCATAAATTTTAAAAAGTTTTTTACAAAAACCCTGCTTCCAGTTGTTTCGTAAAATTTAGTGGAACGCAGGACCTTATCAGGTGAAAATATTTTGTTGAAGGCAAAAAAAGCGTTTTCAGCTGGGGAAATTTAACCCTCTTTGCGTAAATCCACGGACGTCATTTCCTGAATCGCTCAGACCTGACATTCAAGCATGAAAAAAAACAAAACTTTTGTCTTTTTTCGTTAAATTTTTTTATTTTTTATGTTTGTACGTATATAAACTTTTTGTTGAATATCATTTTTCAAATATAGTTAACCATGTTGAATATAGTTTTTTTGATATACTTTTTTTTTTTGTTGTATTCTGATAAGAAACCCGAAGACTTTTTTTTTTTTAAACTTCTTTTTCCCTTTAAACCCGTTTTGTACCTTTTCAAGACAAATTTTCTAGAGGTTGAAATGGGGAAAAATTTTTTTTAAAAAATTTTTTCAACTGTTCCGAATAAATTTCCTAGCCGAATTCACCATCCCAAATTTTAAATCATTTGATAACTTTCAAAATTTCTTGTAAAGTTTAAAGATCCCTTTAAACGGGATTGGGAAAACAATGATAAACAAAGATAGCTTACTTTAATTTCTTTAGGGTAATAAATAGCAATCCACGTGAAAGAAAATAAATCGGAAATGGATTTTTTTACTAAACGGACAAGTTTTAATTTTCTGCTGATGAAAAAAAAGAGACATTTTTTTACAAAAGTCTTTAAAAAAGACCCGGTAAATGAAACAATACCCAATAGTTTTTATTTAAGGGTGTTAATGGTTTTTAAAGGTTTTTTTTCACCCCTTTTTTCAACGTTGTTTTTAAGGAACTAATTGGATATGTTCTTTAACTTAAGTATATATAAATAGCTAAAATACTTGTTGTAACTCCGTCGATCCAAATTGGACGTCATCTGCTTTTTAATGGGAATATTCATATAGAATTAGATTTATCACAAATATGTGTTAAAATACCTCTAAGGCAAATATCATCAGATGGGTTTTAAAGGGATTTTATAATTAAATAACTGGAAAACGGATACAGATCTATGAGACTTAGTACAAAGTTATTTATAAACTCGGATACGGAGACCGCTTTTACTTTTATCCTTAACGCTTGAACCATCGTTAGATTGAAATTGTTTATGCCATACCGGAACATATTCCGGAACATCTCCCTTATCATATCTCTCATATTATCGAGATTCAACGTTCAAAGTTTCAGTTGTTTCTGTCCTTTCAAATATGTGATCGAACGTTACAGTTTAGTGTCAACTGATAATTTTGACATTGCGAATTGACTTGTGCCACAATTATCTTTAAACTGCGGCAAAATAAATCAGTGACTACACCGATTCCAAGACATCATAACAGTTTTAGAACTAAGATGTTTGCATTGCAAAACTAAGTTCAACATGACAGTTGAAAAAAAACCTTCTCGGCCTTAATGTAACTATGAAAAAAATATTGTATTATTTAAATACTCTTAATTAGATTGTGTTTTCGTTAAACAATTATATCTGCTTAAACATTGAAGTAAGAACATATTGGTTTGTTCCTTTATATATCGATTCGTTCCTGGAAGGGAAATGGAAGTTATATAAATGTTGTCTCTGGTACGTAATAAAAAAACTCATAAATTGTAATTATATTAATATAGAATACTTAAAAAAGGGAAAGACAATGAATTTACAGATGCTTATTTGGTAGGCATCCTGAATTATGAATGTGAAGGACTGTGTCATATTGGTGAAGATAAAGTCATCATGCATATCAATAAATATCTGAAAGGGTTATTGAAACCGTGAACGTAAAAATCTAGTCTACCTCTTGTAAGTTCAAAAAATCAATATTTTTAATTAGTTTATTAATGTCTAAAAGATCACGTATTTATTTAAGAGACAGTATGGTATAAAATCGTTAAGAATTTATAGCTTTGGCTATGCCTGAAAATATTGTTTTACGAAATCACGCAATTATTCTTATACTACCCTCTTACACAAAACCTACCGTCCATCCACCACCGTCCGTTGTCATGTCACAATAAACAGACTTTACTTGATGAGACAACCATAGCTGTATTGTGTATACACCGTCTTTAGCCAAGGGATATTTGTTCTTGATCTCTTTGCAGTCGGCCTCTGAAATACATCGGTTAATCTTTTGATAATCCAGAGTCAGTACAATACATAAAAAATATGGTAAACAAAATCAACAATGAAAGGTGGCGTTCAATGAACGCAATCCCACATGACCCAGAAACAAGGAGCCCAGGGGGACCCCAAACAAAAACAGCACAGGGCCCCAGGCAGCCGCCACACCAATTTGTGTACTATGTTTTCTAGTAAGAAAGGAATGGAATCCGAAAATCATGTGAAAATATTACTTGAGACAATGTTGTTAATTATTGCAAATGTATTTATTTAATATGTGAATTTTGGTCGGAAAGAACTATACACATGCTACCTTCAAAGAAGGTTATTGTATTAAATAAAGTGGTTGGTTGTGTTCTCTATATGTCTGCTTCCTTAACTGTTGGTGATGCTTTCGGTCGCCATTCCCTGACGGCGATATATAAAATTAACATCTACACCTGCCTGTTTGCCTGAAGGCAATTAGAATGGAAAATTGATACTACATGATAACAATATGGATGACAAAAGATCTCAAAAAGAGGTCCATCCGCCATGTGTTTTACGGGTTAGCTATATAATCATATATTATTAAAATACTATCTTCATGAACCTCCAGTACGTAGGCCCATGTGGTGTAAACAATATTCGTATTATATCTTTTAAAGAAGAAATATAAGTGATGTTGATTAGGAAGAATTTTATTTCCAGAAAAGATTTAATACCTGGCTGTTCGGCGATTCGTAGCATTTGAAGTGCTTGATAAGGTCTATTAACAAGTGGTGTATAAAAATACCTTTGCTTACGAATTTTGAGAAAAGTGATTAATAGATGTCTTCGATGTGTTTGTAAAGTAAAGTAAATAAGTTTCCCGAATATCAATATTAATTTTAAGTCAATGTCAAGACAATTGTCCACTACCATAAGTTTCGATGATGCCAATTTATAGTTTATGTAACAATTTTTGCTGCTCCCAAAAAGATTACACAATCTCATGCGACAACAAGTCTATGCTTACAATCAAAACTCATTCAATGAAACTACTCGAAAATCTCATTGAATTGCGGGTAATCATCTATGCATTTGTACAAAAGTTTGCCTCTGTTTCATTCTAAATGGATGTCTTTATGCAATTTTTCTTTTACAGAATATTACTAATTGAAAAGCAGTATTGATTTGTTGATCATGTTTCAATATCAAAGTTGGAGAACAGAGGATAGTTAAATTATGTTCTTAAAATCGGAATAAATATGTTACAAATGTACAACAAAATTACTGACAACACCTTCAATATGTTTGTTATGTAATGTTGACGTTTTTGTTATAAACTTTTACGCTTACACTCGGGCCATTTGATATACATAATCTAAAATGACGTAATTCTTACACATTATTGTGCATGCATAGATAGATGATAAACTTTGTTCCAAGCTTAAAGAGTTGTAATGACTTATTGCATACTGTAGTCAAAAATGATCATTCCGAATGCGGTTAGACAACCCTGTGATTCTAAAAAAACAAACGTTAAAACCTAGCAAAACATGCCCTTTTATTCTTAAACATCATATTATCATAAACGATAGTAAAATAGTATAAATAAACCTAGTTCATAACTAAAAAGCATTAAAAATACGTTCCGCGATTAACTAAAATCCGTAAAAGCACGTTGTTGATGTTTCTGAATTTAAAATGTTAACTGTTACAGTTTTATTTGAGGTGCTTCTTTCTTTTAATGTATTCAAGTCGTCATCTATTATAAAATATAATGAACACAGTGAAGGTGAATTAGATAAAATGGAGTACAAATTAAGAATAATATCAACAAGTTACCTTTCTCCGTATCTGCACATCGATAAGTGTTTTTATGGGGAAGACATCGTTGTTGTTCTTCTGAGCAGGGTCGATGGCCGCATGCACCTGCTATTGCCTGCAATAAAAAGTTTGCTCTCTAAGCTTCTTGCTGATTATAAGAATAAAAAAATGGTCTGTTCATCGAAATTAACATCAAATGACCGAAACAGAATTAAATTAGCGAGACCAGAAGTAAAAGTTAAAAGCGAAAGTCAAAATGTTAAGCCAATACTATATTGAAACCTTTTCCGTTAACAGTGCAAAGTATATTATCTGTTTATTTGATTAAAGATAATACAGCGGTGAAACAAAATGGTATAAGTTTCTCTTTCATGTCAACCGAAAGTCGTAAAAAAGCTAATTCGTTAGTCTCTTTGTAAAAAATTCAAGAAGAGCTTAGTACATAAGACAAAAATACCATTGGCCATTCTGTGATATCAGAAAATACTGCTCCTGGTTTGTCCTCAAACTCCGTCATATCGACAGAAGTGCTGTCCACATCATTTAATTTACACATATGGTCATTTCCATTATAATCTGTACTTTTACACATTGGCAGAAAGAAACATTTGCGGATACAGTCATGTCGTCCATTAACACGTATTTCATATATTTCATGTCCAACAAGTCGTTTATTTAAATGCTCCTTACTTATTTGAGATATAGCACGTGTGTTTTTGAACACACATAATACTGTTAAAGATAAAAGTAAAAATGTTAGAGTCATTTTTAGATACAATTACATTAAATTGTAACATTTACACTATAATTTTATTCATCATTCTGAAGCTTATAGTCTAACCTCTTTATTATATTGACTGATGTTTGAAGTTACATTAGGCTTTAGTGATACGTATATAGCTGCTTACCACGAGCAATTTAATACATTTTAATCAGATTGCTTCATTTATTATGTAAATGCAAAGTGGTTAAGAAGCTAAAAAGATGATATAAAATGAACGTTAATAATTAAATTCAAGGTTTGAATTAAAGAATAATTATTCACAAATTTTAGAAATAATCAGACTTAATCAGACGGCATATTTTTGCGACAGGGCGTGATGCGATGCAAAGTGAGCGTGCACCATGGTTTCAGGTAAATGTATTAAATGATGGAAGTCGGTAAAAAACTACTCCCTATGTTATTATTCATACGTGTGGCAGTGCACGAATACAAGCACATTGAATATACACTTCACCAATTTATATTCATTGGGGGGAAACAATTAAATCTAATCAGGTATGGACTAAATACTGTGGGGAAATCAATTATCTGTTGGAAACAGTACCAAGTACGAGTGTATTTACGCGTTCAATTATTGTGTCTTGCTTATTTGGTATTCATGAAAATTATCAAGTACAATGATAAATCTGCTTCATAATCTTTATTTCCATATACCTTATCCAAATGTATATCTTATGTGAAAAGCAAAGAATATATTTCATAACAATAATACCAAAATATTTTAGAACTTTATGTTTATAAACTTATCCAAACGTAACAAATAACTAGCGATGCTAAATGAAGATAACTCAATTGCAAGAAGTTGATTTAGGATCTTAATATGTTCAAGAAAACAAGACAATACCCTTGTTCATAACATTAAATTAATACCCTTGTTCATAACATTAAAATAATACCCGTGTTCATCTTAAAAAAAACAATGTTCTGAGGGAAATAAATTCGTTTTCATTTTTGTTATTGGCAAGTCAGATTTACTCCGCGTGAATATCAATGTTAAGAACAAAAGCTTATCGTATAAAGCTTTATGTATTGGCAATTTTCCACAGCTTTACAATTAGCATGTCACCTAAAAACTGAAGGTTTAAATGTGCAATCGGACAATTAAGGACTTTGTCGTAGCCGTCTTCAGCTTCTTAAATTGGTATGTTTTAATTACACCGTTCGCTTGTTCTACCATCTCAGTTTCAGACATACTCTCTCCAATCATTAACGTAGGTTGTGTCGTCTGCCAAAAAGTCTACTTTTCATCCGGTTAGTCCTGGAGATGCCGTTCTCTGATTACATAACTTGTACTCGGGAGGTCATAGCAAATGTCTTTCAATCTGTTCCATATAATAATAATAATAATAATAATAATAATAATAATAATAATAATAATAATAATAATAATAATAACATAATAATAACAATAATAATAATAATAATAATAATGATAAAATGATAATGATAATAATAATAATAATAGTTTGTTTTGAATAAAGAGTCTTACCAGATTAGAAAGAGCTCTTAGAAAAGATGAGAAGATGTTATAAAGTTGCTTAAAGGGAAGATAAAAAACAGTAGTAAAAATGCAATTTGAAAATGAATCTAATAAATGAATAGTACAAAATCTTAATCACTCCTGGTAACGAACTAATTATAATTCAACTTTCAAGACTAAATGTGATGGAATCAGTACGTTGCCCAAAAGGGCAGAACAACACAACAACAAGTTTTTAAGTAGTTTAACATTTTAAATATTCGGTTCGTTAAGCATACACGCTCAGTCATACATGATGCACTCTTAGCAACATAGATAATTCATAGTTTAGCCCATTAGGGATTTTATACAAACGGTCCGCAAGTTCGTTTATTATCAGAAAATGTCTATAAAAATTAAGATAATTAGTAAATCGAGTCATGTGAATCTAGTCAATGATAATGAGGGAAACATTAAATATTGGAGTATTGAAAATTTGATGATTACCGTCACTAATAAACATATTAATTCCAGTAGTTAGGAGCGTAGATGAATAAAACAAATGTCGCTTTAGAAGTTATAACTAAATGCATAGTGTTAGTTTGATATTAACATTTCATAAAAATCAAACTTCAAACTAAAAATGCACTAAGATTTTAAGAAAGGTAAACAGAAGAATCAACTAGTATTTTACATGTTTTGTGCCATTAATGACTGGTTTTGCAGTATTTATCACTATAGTCTTCTACCTGACTTACGGAGTACGGGCTATTTTTGTACATTTTGACTTATTTTGTAATTAACGTGAATTGTAAATGCTATATGCAATGTGTAAATTACTTTCTTTGTTCACTTCACAGTATTTTACATTAAAATTATTCATGTTCAAAATTTTCATGAAAATAAGTATGAATCTGGAGGCATGTTGCTTTAATTGTCTTCACGTGCCTATATTGTGAAACTTTATTTATCTTTCCACACATAAGAACAGAAGGAAGTTTGATTTCTTAAGTACGCATATTTCGTGAACGCCCTCGTCGAATGATCATAAAACATTTGAGCCGCGTCACGACAAAAACCAACATAATGGGGTTGCGACCAGCATGGATCCAGACCAGCCTGCGCATCCGCGCAGTCTGGTCAGGATCCGTGCTGTTCGCTATCAGTTTCTCTACTTGTAATAGAGTTTATAAGCGAACAGCATGGATCCTGATCAGACTGCGCGGACGCACAGGCTGGTCTGGATCCATGCTGGTCGCAAACCCATTATGTTGTTTTTGTCATGACACGGCTCATTTTTCATTCGATTATTTCTTTCGGTAGAATGACGATCAAAAAGTGGATAGGATATATTATTTTGTTTTGTTTTATGGGTAAAGTTACTTTTATATGGCTGTTTTCATTTTTAAAAAAGTCAAATATTTAGATATATCCTATCGTTTGGTGCTATCAAGTAATTGCACAATTTTAGTCTTTTCCTGTACATTTACGTTTTGTTAATCTAATATATATGTTTTAATTTAATTTTACAAAAGTTTTGAAAAATATGAATTTTTCAAATCATTATTTTTCAATTTTAGATACCAGATAAAATGTTAATTGTTTCAAAAATTAAATAAAACATAAATATTGCGTATGACGGGCCATTAGTCATGGAAAAATATTAATATGTAAAATATAAAAGATATGTGCATATACTGTGTATAATCAAAAGGACATGCATTCAACTCCAACCTGCTTATTTATTGCCAAATATGATGGCAGTGTTTCGAATGAATCGTTACAAATTTACTTCAGCAAACTATTAATCAGTCTAGAAATCGATTGTTTATAGTAAAAAATAATTTCAAATACTAAATTAGTTAGTTTTTATTAGTAAGCATTTACCAAATAAAGGTGGTTTTGACCAATTTAATTTTTAATAAAATGTCAGATAATATAACGTCAATAAACCAAATGGCGTAATGTATATTATTGTCCAACAACATTGACCTGGCACTCTTGCATTTGACCCTGTAGTCGGTATATTCCGTAAACGTTACGATTTACTTGTAAATCGCTATGAATGTAAATATCCAATTGTTAAAATGGTGTAAATGAAAATTCCCTCTTAGCGCAGTTGGTAAAGAGTTTTCACTTGCAGACGTAGACTGGTAGGTTCGAATCCTATTTCAGCGATTTATTTTTTATTTTAATTTTGAAATTGCCATTCTCTTTAAACTATTGAAAACCTTTTTATTGTGTGTACTATCTATGCAGATTTTTTAATAACTACATTTAAAGCATGTATGCGCTTAAGCATATACGATTGCATAATGTCACAAAAAGAACCGTTGAAAGATACTGTAATGAAATGAAAGACAAAAATAAAAGACAATTGTGCAGAAAAACACCACTTAAAAGATATTCAAAAACCAGGTGTAATAAAACGATTTCATATTAATTCTTGCAATTTAATTTAAAAAAAATTATAATGTGGTGTTGGTTAGATATCGAACCAGAGACCTTCAGATCGGTAGTTCGACACCTATACCAATACACCAAACCTCACTGACGAGGGAAGTTAGCAAAAATATCGATATATTCGATAGGTAATGGTCAATGTTTATTCATATGACCTTTCCGAAAATTAATGAAGTGCCAGGTCAATATTGTTGGACAATACTTCTACACACAATGTAGTTCAACATTTTTGTTTATTTTTATCGACTTTCCTTTTTATTGGCATGTAGGATATAAAATAGTATAAATTTCCAGTCCTGTGGGGGATATAAAAAAGAATAATATTGCATTCTATTTTTCTTACTTTAACAAATTGAATATGATAAAATTGTGTATGTAGACAAGGCACAAATATATTAAAATGAATAATGTTTTTTGAACCTTTTATAATATGGATTTGAACAAGACCTCTATCAAAGTTATACAAGTTAGTCCTTAAAGGAAATATCGAGGGTTCAAAGGTAAAAGGTTACCGGTATAACTGCCATTTTTTGCTGAAATCGACTTTTTATGTTTTTTATAATGTACTTATTGTCCTTTATGTTTGTCGAAAATATTATATAAATCCTTATAAGGGCAAAACATTAAAAAGTATTTTGTAATAACTTCTTTTCTACAAATTATATAGAAGTAAAAGGTTCTAAGTGTACTTATTACCTGTTGTTTAATTGTTGTTCCACATGTTGTGAAGAATCTGTAGTGGAAAAAGGTTATAACTGATTTTATTACCTTTTTCCTCTGACAGAATACTGCATTCATACAGTTCACAGGCACTATCTGTTATCTCTTTTTCCAAGAAATTTATCTTGTAGATTTAAATGCAGCGAGAATATAACCGAAGATGAAAGACAGAAAATATTCAGTACATACTGGTCAATGGGTGATTACAAATGTCAGAGGCAATTCATTTGTTTCCATGTTGCCAATAAAGAACCAGAGAAGGTATCTAAACAGAGAAGAAAACAAAGAACTATTTTCTAAAAACTCTCGATGTCGGTTCCAAAAACAGTTGCAAACGCAGTTAAGCACAAAGTGGCAGAGTTATATGTTGGAAATGACAAGAAAGGGAAAGCTGTGCCTGGAAATAAAAAAAAAAGAAATATCACAGATCATTTGTA